GAATGGGTAAATTGCTGCTCAAAATTGGTCAATTTGACAAGGCTGAAAAACTATATACGGCACTACTAGAACAGGCTTCTAACGACAGTGATAAAGCACCGATCTATTACCAGATTGGATGGGTGAAACAAGACCAAGGGCAATATACAGAAGCAGTTTCATTTTACGAAAAATCACTAGATATTGATCTAAAAACTCTTCCGGAAGATCATCCTTCATTAGCTCCTACCTACAGCAACCTCGGTCAAGTGTATAACAACATGGATGACCGCTCGAAAGCACTTGAATTTTACGAAAAAGCATATAAAATCTACGAAAAAGCATATAAAATCTGCGAAAAAGCTCTACCTCCAAATCATCCCGATTTGGCTACTTCCTACAGCAACCTCGGTCAAGTATATAGCAACATGGGCGACTACTCGAAAGCACTTGAATTTTACGAAAAATCACATAAAATCTACGAAAAAGTTCTGCCTTCGAGTCATCCCGATTTGGCTACTTCTTACAGCAACATCGGTCAAGTGTATAACAACATGAGAGACTACTCGAAAGCACTTCAATTTTACGAAAAAGCATATAAAATCTACGAAAGAGCTCTACCTCCGAATCATCCCAATTTGGCTACTTTCTACAACAACATCGGTCAAGTGTATAACAATATGGGCGACTGCTCAAAAGCACTTGAATTTTACGAAAAATCACATAAAATAAAGGAAAAAGCTCTGCCTCTGAATCATCCCGATTTGGCTATTTCCTACAGCAACATCGGTTCGGTGTATGAAAACATGCATGACTACTCGAAAGCACTTGAGTTTTACGAAAATGTTCTCGAAATCACGAAAAAAGCTCTGCCTCCGAATCATCCCTATTTGGCTACTTCCTACAACAAAATCGGTCTCGTGTATAACAACATGGGTGACTATTCGAAAGCACTTGAATTTTACGAAAAGTCACATCAAATAAGAGAAAAAGCTCTGTCTCCGAATCATTCTTCATTGGCTCCTACGTACAGCAACATCGGTCAAGTGTATAACAACATGGGTGACTACTCGAAAGCACTTGAATTTTATGAAAAAGCACATAAAATCGATGAAAAAGTTCTGCCTCCGAATCATCCTTGGTTGGCTACTTCCTACAGCAACATCGGTCAAGTGTATAACAACATGGATGACTACTCGAAAGCACTTGAATTTTACGAAAAATCACTTAAAATCTACGAAAAAGTTCTGCGTCCGAATCATCCCGATTTGGCTACTTCCTACATTTGCATCGGTACAGTGCATTTCAACATGGGTGACTACTCGAAAGCACTTGAATTTTACGAAAAATCACATAAAATCTACAAAAAAGTTCTGCCTTCGAATCATCCCTATTTGGCTACTTCGTACAACAATATCGGTCAAGTGTATAACAACATGGGTGACTACTCGAAAGCATTTGAATTTTACGAAAAATCACTTCAAATAAGAGAAAAAGCTCTACCTTCGAATCATCTCGATTTGGCTGGTAGTCACTTGAGTTTCGCCGCATGTTACGAACGAATGGGTGATTACGCAGCAGCTCTTAAGGCTCTTCAAAGTGCTTTTCAAATTCAACAACAAGCATTTCAAGAAGGTAATCCAGCTTTTGCTTTAACATATAGTTGGTTCGGAAGAGTTTATCGCAGTATGAAAGATTATTCAAAAGCACTTGATAATTTGGAAAAGTGTCTCGCAATAGATCTAAAAACGTTACCTGAAAAACATCTCTATCAGGGTATTACTTACAGTTATATTGGTGATGTTCATCGATTAATGGGTAATTATGAAAAGGCACTTGCATTTCATCAAAAAGCATTAAATATTCAAGAAAATGTTCAATGTAGCCCTCTTCAAGTTGCAACGACATATATAAATTTAGGTGAAACTTATCGAGAAATGAAAGATTATTTAACAGCATTGACATATTTTCAAAAAGGATTAGACATATGTCAAAAGAAATTACCAAAAAATCATCCTGATTTAGCTATAATTTTTCATAATATGGCAAAACTATATTTAGCTGTCCAAAAATATAGTATGGCAATGGAAAATGTCCAACAAGCGGTAGACATCGCTCAGAATAAGTTGCCTCCAAATCATCCTCATCTGTTGAACTATAGACAAACATTTAAAGAAGCGCAAAAGAATATGTAAGTTTATTTTTTTTCTCTGGCTGACGACATGGTAAATTCCTATGTCTTGAAGTTTCGAGCTTCTGCACATCATTATCGAAAGAATGACACTAGATAAAAGAATATAATTGCGACGGCTCAGATTCATGATCTCTTATGTGTGGATCGAAAGTCATATTTAAACAACCTAATAAAGCCACACAAATCGCAGTCCACTGTTACGTTCATCGAGGAAATTCATTTCAACATAGTATTCTATATATAAATTATATCTATATCTTTTGGATTTGGGTTAGGTTGGGTCGGGAAATTCAGTTTCATACGATATTCTATATATCAATAACATCTGTATCATTTGTAGTTGGATGGAGCAGGTCGAGTAAGGGAATTCATTTTCATACGAAAACCTATATATAAATGTTATCTTTATCTTTTCGTTATCTTTTTGTTTGGGTTGAGTGGATTGGATCACATAAAACTCTAAATATAAATGATAGCTTTATCTTTTGCAGTTGGGTTGAGTTAGGAAATTCATTTTGACATGATATTCTATATAGAAATGATATCTGTATCTTTGGTAGTTGAGTTGGGTCAGAAAATTCATTCTCATATGAAACTATATCTAAATGATATGTTCATCTTTTGGAGTTGAATTGGGTCAGGAGATCCATTTTCGCATGAAAATCTATATCCTAATGGCGTCTTTATCTTTACGCTTTGATTTGGTTCGCTCATGAAATAAATTTTAATGCAAGGGTAAGATACCCAGGATTTCTACATTTTTGCATAGAGCTTTTTCCGAAAGGTTCCATTAGACATAGGAGGAAACGATCAATAAATCAATGTATTCTATGTCAATCTTTGGATTGCATTAATGCATGTGAAGCTGTTGGACTTAATTGGAATATATAGTTTTCATTGTTATGTCTTGAAAAAAATCTTAGCTCACTCTGTGATGAAACGGTATCTGCATCTGTCAAGTGAATGTAATCGCTAATGCATATGGGAAAATACTTAATACCGGAAGTTTTGTGGAATTCACATATTTTCTGAAGAAAATAGTGAGTCTGAGTTTTACGTCGATGTCTTCCGGTTCCCGCTTTCCAGTCTTCTCCCTTCCCACTTAAGGATCACAGGAATTCCCAAGGAAGAAAAGCGGTTCCTGATTCCTGGCAGATCCTGTGGTTCCTGGTAAATCCTGGCAGCTCCTTATGGTTTTTCGTGGATCCTTATAAGTCTTATTAGATGTTT